AGGGGTATCTTTTTGGGGGTCCCAAAAACAAGGACTATAGTATTTTAGGGTCTATATTGGGGTCCCACTATTTTGGGAAACTACCATGTTAGTCCGTTCTACACTTCCTGACGAAATCCGCTTGACGTTTGCTCATCATATGCTCCAATCCGAAGCTAAGTTTTTCCTGACTGAAGATGCCTCAGTTCCGGGGGCAGAAAGCCAATGCCTTTCTCCTAATGGACAATGTCATGGGGACGTCTTCACCATGTCATGAGTCCTTGATGTCTTCTTGGAATCACGTGCGAATGTCTTCTCTAAGCCTGAATGCCCATGGTGGCCGCCTTCCCAACGTCTGGCTTGCACCTTCGCAAGCACGAGCCAAGCGGTGCATTGCTGTAGACAAGTTCACACCTGGGCGCAGCTTCAGAATGAATGTTACTACTAGTGCCGTTCTATACCCGTAGTTTGCATCACAGCTTTACTATCAGAAGCGTGCAGCACAAAGCACAGAGACGGACCAACCTGTGTTTTCCCGTGTAAAGTTTAAGTTAGGTCAAGTGCAGTGACAGCAGAAACCTAGCAGCATATTGCAACAGGCAGAGTCAGAGGATCCGCAGTGAAGTCTGGTACCGTCTTTTCTGGATTTTACGATCCGGTGCCCCGCACTAAACCCTAAACCCTAAACCCTATTCCTGGAGCAACATGCGGCACCACAGATCCAGGAGAAAGCCCAGCTCAACACCCAGAAAAAAGTCTGTCCTCGACCATTTGCACCCATTGGGGTAACATTAGGGTTTAGGGTTTAGGGTTTAGGGGGTAACATTAGGGTTACATTGGGATTATATTGGGATATGCTATAATGGGAGATAATGGGTTATATAAGGATTATACAGGTAGTAGTAGGGTTCACTGAAGCAACACCAGGCACCATTCATCTGGTCCAGCTTTGCCTCCACTATGCCAAGCACCTGGCACAAGCAAAAAACCCACGGATGGTAAACATGGACTGTTACGGCAAAACTTTCTTGGTAGCTAAACCCCAAATAGTAGTTTCCATTTTAGTTTCCATTATCCCAAATATAACCCTAGCATTACCCATATAATCCCTATATAAGCCATTAAATTATAAACCCATTATAGAAACCCATTATAGAAGGGGCCGACTGCCGGGTTGCCTTGACGGGGATCTCCGCCTTCGGTGCCTTGGCCGCCGCAATGATCTCCTGAAAGAAAGCGTCTTAGAGTAGGGTTTAGGGTTTAGGGGTTTAGGGTTTAGGGTGTAGGGTTCAGGGCCACAAGCTGGCAGAGATGACACTAGGGATAGCGGAAAAGAAAATAGAAACTACTATAATGGGCTGAACAGGGATTATAAGGTATATACTGGGGCTATATAGGGACAATGGAAAAGAAAATGGAAGCTACTATAATGGGTTATACAAGGATTATAGGGAATATATGGGGGTTTGCATTAAGGATAATTGAAAAGAAAATGAAAACTAGTATAGTATGTTGGGCTTAAAAAGGGATAATGGAAAAGAAAATGGAAACTACAACAGTATAGGGATGGTGCGGGTTGAGCGTTGGCTCTCCTGGTTGATACGCTTCTGAACCTGGTTGTCTCGGCGAAGTGTGGCCTGGGACACCTTGGAAGAGGCCATCGAAGACTGGGTTGCTGTTACGGAACTTCATCTAAGTTACTACTTTGGGAAGACAATCTTGGTTCATATATATATATACACATACTCATTGTGGTTACTTCATTTAAGTTACTATATTGGGGAGACCATGGTAACTTGATGTAAGTTCCTATATTGGGGAGACCATATTAATGTCGATGTATACCCATTATGATAACTTAAATCCCGAAATTCCCCCAATGTCCATTCAATTTTCCCTTTGGTTTTCCAGCTTATTCTCCATTACAGGGGTATTATCTACTCTCTGTACCCACTACGGTAACTTAATTTAAGCTACATAACAGCAACCCAGCAGAAGCCAACTTGTTGACCAAAACTTTCTGCCAAGGTTCGGGGGCTGCAACGGTAACCTGGCTTGCGGTTAAGGAACTTAAATTAAGTCCCCGCAATGGGTATATTAGCGTTTAGTGTGTAGGGTTTAGGGTTGATTATCCCATCAAATGGATAAAAAACAATGAAATGGAAAGCCTAGGTCCATTGAAGGTATCTATAGTGGTTACGTGGGGATATTATCCCCTATGATGGAGAATCGAATGGACAAGAAAATGGAAAATGAAATGGAAACTGGGGAGTATAGGGATTAAGTTACCATAATGACTATCTATAGTAATTAATATCGCTTCCCCAGTATACTAGCTGAAATTCACCTTAACAGCAACCCAGCAGCTGGTAGGTTACCCGGTATGTTCTTAAAAGTCACCGATGCCACGGTTGCCGGAGAAAGCGGTGACATTGGTGAAGGCGACATTGGCGACATTGGGGGATATTGGTAGCGCACTGCCTCCCGATTTCCGGAGGGCGAGGTGCCAAGAATCTGCTTGAGGCCAATCCTGGGTTGCTGTTCGGGAGCTTAGGGTTTAGGGTTCAGGGTTTAGGGATATGGTTAACTTAAATTAAGTTCCTTAACCCTAAACCCTAAACCCTAAACCCCTATAGCAACCCAGAATCAGGTCCAAACCCGGTGGCCCGAGAAGTTCTGAGCGCATGCCCAAGCCCGGAGGCTCCTGGAAGACGGACATCTCGGGGGCAAACTCCTGTGAAGCTGGGATGGATTGTTGATTATATAGGGAGAAGATAGGGCTTACATAGGGTTATAGTTGCATTGGGATAATGGAAAATAAAATGAAAACTACTTTAATAATAGGGTTATATTTGGATTAGGGTTTAAGGTTGCCACCACTGATCCCAATCAGCCATGCACATTAGGCCCTGGCCTTCGTCATGCTCACATCTCGAAGAAAATCCAGCTGAGTGGGATCAATGAACAGCGGGGAATCCTGGAGCAAAAGCGGCCTAGGACCTGCCTAATGACCTGAGTAATGGTTTATTTGGATGGTTAAACCTAGTAAGATAATCGTCCTTATATAAGATATTATACTCCGAAAGGAGAATATAATCTTACTCTACACTGGGTACCATAGTGTCCCCAAATAAAATACTACTCACCTGGTGTTTGTGTGGACTTCAATTTGCTGCCGGATGCATGACCTCACATCATGCAGCATCATGCACATGCCATCGTTTACTCTTGAGGCTTTGCTTTCAAGAGCTACACATATAGCAAAGAGTCGTGATGCTCCTGGAGAGCTTCGCTGGCATGAGAAGCTGTCGTCGAAGCGCTGGCCTTTAACAGTCTGCCAAGCGCCAGCTGCTGGCATTATGTACTGGGCATAGGGCAGAGATTTGCTGCGCCATTTGCAGATGGGACAGTTCGGACCCTGTGTCCAGCAGCAGGCATTGAGTCTTGCAGTTTGGGATTAGCAGCCTTTACTTTGTTTGAGACCTGTACTTCTAGAATTCCAAGCCTGGCGAGCGCCGCAGTTTCCAGTTGTTCAGAATACAGAGCCGCGCGCACAACTTGCACCCCTCACGCCCAGCAGTTTCAATGATGCCCAGGACGGTGCATCATCTTTGATTCTGCGAAGACGATCGAGAAACTACAACTGCTCAGACCGGTGCTTTCCTACCAAGATGTTTTCTGTGCAACGCTTCTCAAAGTTGATGTGACAGAGGCATGTCTGGTCATGTTCTGTCGTAAAGCAAATCAAGGGCATGACAAGACTCAATCTTGCCTCCGAGTCGGAAGATGACTGGCCTTGCTGAATTTGGGCCTGCGAAGTTAGATCAGCACACCTCAGCATCCGGCTGCGGCTCTGCGCAGCCAAGTCAGAACGTGATATGGGTGGTTGTCATGGTCCCTTTTCGGGTACCCTAAATATTAGGTGCCATGTTATTATGGGGATCCAAAAAAGGGCCATAAGTTTGACAGCCACCCATATCGGCATACCTTCTAATTTGAACCTAAATGCTTTGCAAGTTTGGGCTGCACATGCAATATGAATGCACTCTAATGATGAGCATGTCTTGGCTCCCTTACAGTGCAGGACATTGTGAAGGCAAACGGAAAGGTTGCAGCCAAATACATAAGGAATGGCACTGCCGGTGAGGACATGATTAGAGTATGTCGACGAGGAGATTCAGAAGCTGATCTTCGCAAGCTACGTCCTCCATGCAGTGGAAGACGGGCAGCCGAATGATGGGAGAGGTTCAAGTCGCCAATGAAAGCAAGGACGGGCATGAACAAGGGAGAGGGATTCCGTACACAGCTGAATATGCCCCCTGGATGTCTCCCACATTGAAGCACAAGCCGAGCATCCCTGATGGCAAGTACGGCTTGGCCGTTCCTTCTTGATCATCTGAACAGAATGAGGCTGTCGAACACGCAGAATCGATCCTGGGCACCATAGGGCACCAAGTCTATAGGGTATATATTGGGGCTATATAGGGATACTGGAAAAGAAAATGGAAACTACTATAATGGGTTATACGGGGATTATAGGGTATATGTTGGGGTTATATAGCGATAATGGAAAAGAAAATGGAAACTACTATAGAGTATATATGGGTTATACAGAGAGAATGGAAAAGAAAATGAAAACTACTATGCTGGGCTATGCAGGGATTATAGGGTATATATTGGGGTTATATAGGGATAATGGAAAAGTAAACGGAAACTACAAAAATGGGTTATACAGGGATTACAGTGTATAGATTGGGGTTTTATGGGGATAATGGAAAAGAAAATGGAAACTACTATAATGGGTTATACCGGGATTATAGGGTATATATATATATTGAGGTTTCATGAAGATCATGGAAAAGAAAATGGAAACTACTATAATGGGTTTAGCAGGGATTCTAGGGTATATATTGGGGTTTTATAGGGATCGTGGAATAGAAGATGGAAACTGCTATAGTTGGTTTTACAGGGATTATAGGGTATAGATTGGGGTTTTACAGGGATAATGGGAAAGAAAACGGGAACTGCTGTAATGGGTTATACCGGGATTATAGGGTATAAATTGGGGTTTTATAGGGATAATGGAAAAGAAAACGGCAACTGCAAAAATGGGCTATACAGTGATTACAGGGTATATATTGTGGTTTTATAGGGATCATGGAAAAGAAAATGGAAACTATGATGGGTTATACAGGGATTATACGGGTATATATTGGAGTTTATACAGGCAGAATGGAAAAGAAAATGGAATTTACTATATGTAACTTCCGGCGCAACTTGTATCTTCGCGAGCCTCTTGACACGTCCACTTTCAGAGAAACAGGGTGTGAGCTGCACAAACCCTCAAATGGTAGTTTCCCAAAATAGGGGACCCCAATGAAGGCCCCCAAATACTAATGTCCTTACTCTAAGGACACCCAAAACGTACCCCTAAGTTTGGGAAACCCCCAAATGCAGCCAGGCATCGGGAACTGCTGCAAGGCACTCCTGAGGCATGTGGACATTGCGGCAACTTCCTGCAGGGCGGGCATTTATTATGCTTGGGGGTTTCCCAAAATTAGGGGTACTTACTATAATGGAGAATCAAATGGAAAAGAAAATGGAAAATGAAATGGAAACTGGGTTTATACAAGGGATTATCTAGGGTTTAGGGGTTTCCCAAAATTGGGGGTACCTTTTTAGGGATCCTTATAATAAGGACTATAGTATATTGGGGTCCATATTGGGGCTCCCCTATTTTGGGAAAGTACCACTTCTCTTCCCTGGAACAGCTCAAGCTGCATGATGAAGTAAGCTCTCTGGATTCAGCTCAGCAAATATTCTAAGAACTGTCTGACACGCTTCATTGCGCTTTAAATGAGGAAGCTTCCCGGCATGACACATGCAAAGCCAAAGTTCTGTTGCCTCTGCGCGTCAAGACTTCAAGGTCCAACAAACCTACGAACGAATATTTACGAATGCAAGCTTCAGGCCAATAAACAACTGAACTGAAGGATGTGCGGCAGCCAAAAAGCAGCCGGAAATTTCAAGTATATGCTATAGTAGTTTCCATTTTCTTTTCCATTATCCCTACATAACCCCAATGTATGCCCTATGATCCCTGTTTAACCCATTATAAATTATAGTAGCTTTCATTTTCTTTTCCATTATCCCTATATAACCTCAATATATACCCTATGATCCCTGCTGCAAGACAGCTGCACGCCTTGATTTGCAGTGTAGTGCTGCGGCGGCGAAGGTTGCTACAAATCCGATGCACTGATCGCTGCCCGAGCCCAGTTGGCAAAGGGTTTAGGGTTAAGGGTCTGACTCAGGGAATGTAAATTGGGGCTACATAGGGATGATGGAAAAGAAAATGGAAACTACTACAATGGGCTATACAGGGATTATAAGGGTATATATTGAGGTTGTATAGGGAGAGTCCAAAAGAAAATGGAAACTACTATAATGGGCTATACAGGGATTATAGGGTATATATTGAGGTCGGTCATATAGGGATGATGGAAAACAAAATGGAAACCACTATAATGGAAAAGAAAATGGAAACTACTGTAGATAACGGAAAAGAAACTGGCATGGTAGTATATAGGGTTGATATAGGGATAATGGAAAAATGGAAACTACTATAGTATGTTGGGTTAAAAAGGGATAATGGAAAAAACTGGAAGCTACTATAATGATATCTGAAAGCTTTGAACGGCCTCTAATCCAGTCACAGGAATGCGGCACGGCTTTGCACAGTAGGCATCTCGGCAAGTTGGACATCTTGTAATATAGTATATTTTGGTCTATTTTGGTATAATATACTATATATCACAATATATCATGGCATATTATACTATAGCATGGTATATTGCAGTATAATATACTACATTATAATATAGCAAGCCCACCTCCATGACAGATTTCGGGCAACCTTGCATCAGACCCGAGGTCAAGCGGCTTCTGCCCTGCAAGCCCTTCTAATTCCTCAATATATACCCTATTGGTTTAGGGTTTAGGGAGTTTAGGGTTTAGGGCTTGGGGTTAGGGAGTTTAGGGTTTGGGGTTAGGGAGTTTAGGGTTTGGGGTTAGGGAGTTTAGGGTTCAGGGTTTGGGGTCAGGGTTTAGGGCTTGGGGTTACTATACTATAGCATTTTCCATGTTCTTTTCCATTATCCCTACTATGGTGGGATCCACAGTATGAACCCAATAAATTGCCCATTATACTATCATAGTTTTCCATTTTCTCTTCCATTATCACCATATAAACCCAATATAAATTCAAAGCTGTTCAGATTGAGAACACCAGGCAATCTGATTGCAGAGTCTGGGCCTGCCCGTTGGCGGGCCTGCACGCCCAATATGGCGCTAACCGGCTGCCGGCATGCATTCTTTGGCCGGCCGAAATAGCCGTGCTTGCTTTGTTACTTAAAATGCTACAGGAAGCGTTCACTCGTGCAGGATATTCACGCTGAATTCAACTGCTCGCAGTGGCCATGTGTTGAGCAAGCAGTATGGTCCCTGAGTCTGAGCACAGTCGAAGTACTTAGCATAAAGTGGAGATTGCCTCCTGGGATGATGCTTGGCTGGCTGCTGTCAGCTGAATGTGCATCCCAATGCTTGCTTTCATCAACGCTTCGACCGGTAGAGGGAGCAGGGTATGATCATTGGGTTTGGGTTGGTTGCCTTGAAGAACCACGCAACTGGTTTGTCCTCAAAAGGAAAAGCAATTCTTCAGACCCGCTTTCGAGTAGACTCCTTTTATGCGCTCTTGAAGGCGTGACCCAGGCGACGCAGCAGCCGCCTGAAACTTGATGAATCTTGACATATGCCCGCTTTAGCCCTTCAACTCGCTTGGATTCTGTGGCCTGCTAAGAGCACAAAAGAGTGTTGCCCACTCCATGAACATGCTGGAGCCTTGTGGACCACACCGCTGGGCCCCTGAAAAGGCCACCGGCCGCAAAGGACAATAGGCAAAGGCCCACAAGGCGCCACAGCGCGATGCCTTGAGCTTCAAATTGACAATGCATGGCTAATGGGGTGATTTGAACTTGCTCTCAGCCAACCAAAGCGCATTCAGAAACCTACTCCTCTTGCATTCTCAGGTACCCCCTTTGGAGTCAGAGTCCTGCAGAGCACGCGTCAACAACGTTCACCATATTGCTTGTCTGACACACTTTCTGCATGTGTGGCCCACAATACTGTTCCCAAAATGGGGGAAATTCATATAGGGACCCGCATTATAACAGGAACCCAAATATAGGACCCCATATTGACAGTGATTTAGGGACAATCCCCATGGTCCTTGTTGAGAAAGCGCTGGCAGGTAGCCGGGCTGGGATCCAGCTGCCAACAAATCGTTCTTAGAATACGCACCGCCTTGTCAGGGAAGCATAGCAGGCTCAGCAGGGCGTAGAGTCCCCCTTAAGTAGATAGATGTTTTAGGTTTTATAGGGTTTATATAGGGATAATGGATAAGAAAATGGAAGCTACCATATTATAATAGGGTATATATTGGAGTTATAGTCCCCCTTAAGTAGATAGAATATGGCGTGTATGGGGATCTTATTATAATATACCCAAAGCCTTATTCCATCTACTTAAGGGGGACTATACACTGATATTGTGCTGAGTGATTCCGGGCGGTCTGCTCTTCAGGAACATTCGGAGACATGCGCCCTGGACAAAATTTGTGGTATTTCCCTGGATAGGTCCCCCCTAAAACCCTGTATATTCCCCCTATAGGTCCCCCCAACTTAAATTCAGTCTGTAGCTCATATGGCCTCCAGTGGGCCGCTGTAGCGCCAGCCATTGATTCGAAGCGCCGCCTCCTCAAATTTAGCGAAACACTATATTAGGGGTATATCATGGTATATTATAGTGTATTATAGTATATTATAATATATTATAGTAGATTATAATACATTATAGTATATTATAGTATATTATAGTAAAATATAGTATATGGACGGAAAGTCTAGCTGGTCTAAGATGCTGCTCACACGCTGTACGCCTATTTATAATATAGTAGTTTCCATGTTCTTTTCCATTATCCCAATACATACCCTATAACCCCTACATAATCCGTATATGACCCCCAAATAATCCCTACAGAACCCTTATAGAACCCCTAGTATCTGTAGCTGTCCTCCGCCGCTCCCCACGATGCGCTTTCGCGGTCATCCTCTGGAGATGAAAACCATCCAGAGGCGGCTTGCTTCAATGTAGACTCAAGATACCTTATGGGATTATGGGTATATTAGGGGTATATTATAGTATATTATCGTATATTACGGCTGTATTAGGGGTATATTATAGTATACTGTCGGTATATTTCAGGAGTTGAGCGGGGCCTCCAGGAAGGATGCCGCCTCCAACGATGCGCAACGCTGCACCTGGACAAGAACTTCTGTCGAAGCTTGGGAACTTAACAAGAACCCTAAACCCTTAACCCCAAACCCTAAACCTTCAACCCTAAACCAAAGCTTCAAAGCCAGAGTTCAGATGCCGCAGCCCTCTATGAACTCGGCTAGCACGCCTTGGGTAGTTCCCAAAATTAGGGTACCCTTTTGGTACCCCTAAATATTAGGTGCCGTAATAGATTTATAACCAGAAGGGGTCCGAATTTGGAGAACAACCCCTTTCATCCCTCAAGAGTGTAGCCCAAAACCCTGCATTGAGCAACGGTGATTCAAGCTACTATATCGGGGAAACCATAGTAATATATACCCGTTATGGTAACCTAATTGAAGTTCCTTAAGAGCAACCCAGAAGGAAGTTGCTCATTTGAATACAGTCGGCCAGTACTGCACCACATATGGGGGCACAGTTTCAAGATGGGATTGCGTCTCGATCAAAAACCATATCTTCATGTTGCATAGGTCAGGCTCCATACATATGGGTAGCCAGAACCTGGACACCTAGGGCAAGACTGTGAAAAGAGTTGACTTTGCCCTCAGTTGTGCATAAGTGCCTGCCCGTCACGGCGCACAGAAATCCCCAGAAGCCCTTCACGCTGCCAAGCATCAGACGGTAATCACAACCAATGCCACAACCGGTACGACCACTGCTTCTGCTATTGCTGCTCCTACTGCTGCTGCTACTGTACCACCACAGTCACCACTGCTTCTTCGTTACCCGTTACCCTGCTTCCCATTACTATGACACGACTGTGAGCACAACTACAACCATGACCGCCACGGCTACGACTATGATTGTGCATACCACCACAACCAGCTACTCTGCTGTGTTACCCAATAACACACTGTTGCCCTCTTTCTTCCTTCCTTTCTTTCTTTTCAGGGCTATGGGGAGATCTAAAAAATCCTCTTGGAGCAGCCCGCGTCCACAGCAAACTCCAAGCAGTCCCAAACAGGAGGGCCGATGTAGCAACCATACCCCTGTCCCCGGTATCAGACGCATCAAAGCAATGGTTGACACCGCTATACCCTCTTCCCCTCCCCCACTCTTTCTCCTAGTAGCTACCAACACCGACAGACGTTACATCGACCTCGCCTACAGCAGTTGGAAAGCAGATGTGGTGCGCCCCACTGCATCTCCCTGTGACCCCAGCAGCAGCATTTCAACTCCAGGGCGCTGCCAGCACGTCCCGCGTACTGAGGCCGATCTCTGTCAAAGTGCGGCGACTGCAACTTTCGGAGCCTGGGAGAGAATGCTTCCAAAAAAACAGGCACAGCTCCGAAAGACGAGGCTGAAGCCGTGTCTACCAAACATGCGTGAGAGCATACGCGGCATCAAATTCAACAATCAAACAAAGACTTCATCCACTTTATTCCGAAACCCCAATACAAACCATACAAGCGGCCGTTACATCTCGCAGCCTCGACATATCTCCACCAATAACCTTGCAGCGGGTAGCCGGAATGATCTCCAGCCCAACACGCCATGTCTAGGTTGGGTCTCATCCCTGTGCTTTTCAAGAGTTTCTTTCATCACAAGGTTCAAGAACATGGCTGCTTTCAGCCAAGTTGCTTTGAGGAAAGCCACGGAGCAGACAGTGCTGATAGACGGCCTTGGGCTCCAAGTTTAAGCACGCTGCGAGCAGCGACGCTATGAGAAGCAACGCTACGAGTATTCCAGGAGCCCTCTGCCTCGCGGAGCAAAGGTGCGGCAGGTGGCGCTATGCTCCTATGCTGCAGCACAAGGGCGGCACCTGAACACGAGGTTGGCTTCCCTTTGAGTTCTGAAATTCCTCTGGTGGCAGTGAACATGTGCTTCCAATTAAATCGTAAATCACGGTTCAAGCGAGATCTCTCACAGGTAAAATTCGCACAAGACAGTACCACCCAGGCTGCAGGAGCATTGAAAATTCAAGTGTGATCGTCTCCAAGCTGCAAAAAGTTGCGCAGCAGAAGGATGCCTAATCTTAATCTTTACATCTACTTGCCTGCAGAACTTGCTACCTCCTGGTCTTCTTCGGAAACCTTCATGCAGCTGATAGCTCTTAGAAACCTCAATGCTACAAAAGGGCTTTGCTCGAAGTCCCTTTCGTCTCCTCAATTTATATTGGGATTATATTGGGGTT